CTGGCACCAGCGGCGTCGAAGGAGTTGCAAGGACGAGGATGCAAGCGACAACGAACTGCCTAAGGGAATCCGGCTCCGAATTGTTTCTCAGAGTTGACTCACAAAGCCTTTTCACTGCCTCAAGGCAGTGGATTGTTTTGTATAGGGTGGACTCCCATAGCCTTTGACTATGCACGGACTGAACTACAAGGCAGCAGTCGTACCACTAGACGTATGTGTGTGATACCGTATCATTATAACATCTAATAATCTTTCTAACGCTTTGCTGCCGCGCTTAGTATTAATACCTTATCATATATCATACGCATAGCACATAATGTCTGTTTAAGTAAAATAATGCTTTAGTAAGAAAAAAATACCAAATTCATAATGGATGAACGGAAGTAAAACCCTCTGCTCTTTTTCTAGTAAAATAAATACTGCATCACTTCTAGAGACATAACACCTAACCTCACCACACAAACTCTAAAGCTGTAAGCCGCCGTCTTAAAGAAATGCATACATCAAGTATTATCTACTCGTATATTTTGATGAGTAAGTCTGCCGTTCTCATCGTGTAATTTTACAGTTTAGAACCCATCTTTGACAGATATTGATAAATCCCATCTATAAATAGAGATGCTAGTGGCGTTCGCTTATGTAAACAAAGTTATATCGGACTGAATAATATAAACCTTACTATTCTTGCAAACACGATTTTTTACTAGGTTGAACATCAAACAAATTTCAGTATACTATCTTTACAATTTATACTGTGAGGAACAACAAATTTAACGCGCAGTGTCATGGTAACAGGCAAAAGCCATATCATACATATATGCCCGGATAGTATATGCAAATCCTCTATATAAATATGCAAGCGCATGGATTACCTCGGCAGCCGCTCGATGCGCACCTCGCGACTCGTTATGGAGGCGAGAAGACTGTTAAGGGAGACCGGGATTCGCTCTGGGTCTGCGCTTTCCCTTCGTGTTGACTTTGCGGAGAGAGGATCACATTCTTTTGTCTGTTGCTGTATCTGTATAAATGACTCTCGATCCGCGGGTTGAAATTGCTAAGGGATGCTTGTTGTTCATATATTCCGTTGCATGTCATCAACGCAGCATGCATCAGAAGGATTAAGCAATGATCGTGGGTACTGAAGAGAATTAAGAACAGGATTCTCTGTTTCTCTGTCTCTCTCTGTCTATCTCTGTCTCTCACTGTCTCTCTCTGTCTCTCACTGTCTCTCTCTGTCTCTCTCTCTCTCTCTCTCTCTCTCTCTCTCTCTCTCTCTCTCTCTCTCTCTCTCTCTTTCTCTCTCTCTCTCTCTCTCTCTCTCTCTCTCTCTCTTTTATCAATTTTATCAATAAAATTCAGCAAAAATATTTCAGAGACTGGGATTTCTTTCATTCTGCATTTATGCATTGCCTAGCATTAAAGGCATCTGTGGCCCACCAGTGGATGTACGCCTGCTAACAACCATTGTGCTGTCAGTGTCTTCGCAGTCATCGCGGTAATTATCGGCTCATCACCATCTCATCTTTTGCTCGTCTCGTTGTGGTGATTTTTGCTACAAATTTTATCGAAAATATAGGCAATATTGTCATATTGATTATTAGTAGTTATATAAGTAAAATTGTTATCATCCATCACACTATCAAGATTCTTATTGTTGCCGTTGTGGTCGTCATCGTCAGCATACAGTTTTTCTTTTTTTTATCACACCATTGTGGTCACTGCCTTGGAATCGAAGATCCGACAGGTAAAACATCAGCTTTTGATTACACAGGAGGAAACAGACGTGGTGGCAAAAATAACAAACAACAGTATTCCCCGAAAATATTTTTAAAAATCCAAGAAAACGAGAGAAACCCCTGAATAATATAAGTGATTTTCAGAAAGAAAAAATCAAGATTCTAAGTGACTTTGAAAAATAGCGAAGAGAATGATTTTGAATGGTCTGATAGCAAATTTAAGAACATTAGCTCTGCACTTTGAAGGGCAAGATCTTGGTTCTTCGAATCACGAGCAGCAACCTAGCTGTAGGCTGCAAGTTGGTTGTCAATGGATCGACACCTTTTTTATAGAAAATAGTATACGTAAAATATGTGAACGTCCTGTATAGAGAACTAAAACATAAACGTGCGTAAATGGGGTTGACTGGTAGTACATAAAATCAAAATACAACTGTACATAAAATCAAAATACAACTGTACATAAAACAAAACTAAACTGCTGTCTCTCTTTAAAGTAGTCACTGACACTGAAATGCCAAGACACGAAACACATCTGGATATAAATTGGACACCGTTAAACTTTGTTTGTTCTCAATCGTGTAAAAGTAGTCGGTGGAACTTTTAAAAGAAAGCAGAAACAAAGACATGGCAGACACGGCGAAAGTTGAAATAGAAAACTCAAGTACACTGGAGGGCATTCGAGAAAGTGAAAAAGTAGATTCACTTGCACTGGGATTGCTGTTAAAGAGGACTACATACGAACTTGTTATGAGTTCGTGGGGATCATCAGTATTTTTTTATTCAGTTTTACAACGATCGACTGTCTCTTTACCATGCCATAACTGTAATTTTTCGATATAGGTTCTCTTTTTAATGGAGCTTCTTGGAAAGTTTCTTGGACGATAAACTTATTTCTAATTTTATATCTTAAATTACTATTGTTTTTTTTCCTAATTGTATGCTGCTATTCCGTTAGCAGTGACCTGAAACCGGAGGAGATCCAACACACATGCATGCATGTGTGTGTGTGTGTGTGTGTGTGTGTGTGTGTGTGTGTGTGTGTGTGTGTGTGTGTGTGTGTGTGTGTGTGTGTGTGTGTGTGTGTGTGTGTGTGTGTACACTGGATTTACTCCTGTTTTAGCTCACTGCCATCTTTCCTGAAAGTGCGCAGTGGCCACAGTCTGTAGATGTGTTGTTGTCTCCAAGGGCCAGAGGAGCCTGGGTCGGATACTCAAAACTATTTTTTTCGTGCACCTGTAAGTGAAGCATTAACAAGGCTAATGTTTGTTTGACCAATTCTCTCTGTTATCTAAGAATTTGCTTCTTTTCATATTCTCGTTTTTTTAAATTCTATTTCACTCCCTTTACCTTTACCACAGGACCGCGCAAGTGGCAGCACAACTTCATCCGAAAACAACAGCAAATGAATAAATTTCCAAAAGAAATGAGGAAATTGAGATTGGGATAGGGAAGAGATCAGAATGGAAGGTAAAAAAAAAAGTTAAAGGGGAAGATTAAGACCCGAAGCTGAACCCAACATGCAGGTTAAGGTGTTTTGGTAAGAGTAAACAAAGGCGTTCTTAGCCGTAAGGACCGGAACCAGCTGATTCCTTGAACTTAGACTCCTCTGCCTCTTGTAAATGTAGCCCCAACTGATTCCCAAAGCGCGGACTCCTCTTCGACCCGTCTAAATATTGCAACAGCTGATTCCTTCAACACAGGCTCATTAACCCAGTCAGATGTTGCCCCTTGACCTACCCATTAGTCCTCCCTCGGCCAGTCCACTGACGTCCCTTCGGTATATCCCAGATTTTTTAGATAACGTCATGTGACACATAAAACACAGAGCTTGCTTAACTGAGTGCAATGATATAAAATACAAATAATTCGAAGTTACAGCTCGTAGAATATGTTCTTAAGTATTTTTTTTATGAATATGGAATTCTCGAAAATTCGAGGGCTACAGTGATGGTATTGGTACTCAGTGCTGCCATCGGTATCCTAAGCACGTGTTTCAAATGCTTATTGGTTAATCTGGCCGTGTAGACACACCTGCGCGACAGCCCAATAATGGTTGCGCATGGGGTGAACATCTCATGATAGAATTTCATTTTTCAGCACGTTTAGTACTTCGTTTAAAATGATGAATTATTATCTTCATTTCAGTTTTGACTGTTTCTGAAGGATTTTATAGCGTATCCAGTTACACACGCACAAACACCCCCACCCATCACACACACACACGCACACACAAAAGAGGCATGCTCCGTACGTAAAGTTTCAGCCCCAGACTAGTTCTTTCTGTGCGGTGCCGTCGACTTCTTTAATTCATGGTTATTCGCAATTAAGTCTTGAGAGAATGGTTTATGGCACAGTCCATACTCCTAATACAAGGATTTGCATAGAGTAAATGAATGCGTAAATAATGCATTATTTTGCTGGCCATATGTTATCCTAATTAGTAATAGTATTGGTATTAAAACTTCTTACCTCACAATTACTGTCATTTATTATGATCACTTAATCATAATAATAGTTACTGATAATGACTTTCATTTCATTAACTTATAATCATCATCATCATCGTCATCATCATCATCATCATCATCATCGTCGTCATCGTCGTCGTCATCATTTTCACCATCATTGTTAGTAGCTTTTAGTCAAATTAATATTGTCAATACGCTTTATTTCGTAACCAGATGCATCATAACTGGCTTTGTCTATATCCCACACTACATTGATATATGCGCACTAGTGGATTCACAAAGCGGTAATGAATATGAATATAGTAATATGATAAATGAAATCTTTAGTCCATAGTAAATGCAGACATTGCTTGTCAGTGAAGCTGTAAACTCTTACTGTTGAAAACTATTAAAACTACGACCTCTTTAAAAAATGAAAATGAAAATCACGAGCACGCTGCCATAGTAGATTTTGCTATCTATTCTGCCAACGTTTCTCATGCGTAGATTCCCATTAAATATCGATGTCAGTACTACAGTCAAATCAAGGGACTGAAAAGAAAAGTCTATTACTGCGGATGACATTTTCTCTGTCATAAACAAACTGTATAAACAAATATGCTTGTCATTACATTAAGACCGCAGAAGACAAATAAAATCATTAATTCATTGATATTCTCCATACTACTCAAACGGAGTAATGGCAATGAGCCAAAACTCTATGACATCACGCTCCCGGCACCCAATCAGCACGCTTGAAACTCGTGACGTCACGAAACGTCATAGACCAGCCTCCAAGATGTGAACGAATTGACGCAATGTAAACAGTTGTCAGAGTGCATTCGTAGGAGAAGCAGTGTGCAAGTTCTTGTCAGCGAAGTTTTGTGACGTCTTGAAATGGCGACACCTAAACAAGTG